AGCCTGGTGGAAGGGGCATTTGTGATCATTTTCATGGAGTTACCTTCTGTATACTAAGCATGAGGTCACAGTGGTCTTTCAAATTAGTGTCCTCCCATTGGAATTACATCCAAGGAAGGTCCTTGCTCCCTCTTTCCTTCTTTCTCTTTCTGAGCGTGGGGCTATCCACAAGGCAAGAGTCTCAAAGATTCTCTTCCAATAGGAAGAGGATTCCCGACATCAAGGGCAACTAAGACCCATGTGACATTATGAGATCTCTAAATTGTCCTTTCCTGTGGAGCATAAGGAGCCCTCTCCTCTGAGTCCCTTAGCCATCCTGAACAGCCAATGAATTTCAGTTTTTATTCACCTCTGTTTTACAAACGAGGAACCCAAAGTTCCTCTACTTGTCCCAAGACACACGGCTAGAATCGGAAGAACTAGATTTGCCATTGGGTTTGCATCACCCTGTTACTCCATTTTCTCTGTTTTCTTACACTGCCTGGGTCATCAAGCCATCTGCGGCCATTCCCCCGGCAGTTACATTTCTTTTCTCCTCCATCATCACCCAGATATTTCCTATAGGGACCTAGGATCCTTCCTTCAGGAATTGAGAAACAAGCTGGCATCTGTGCAGCCATGTACCTTGGTAGGTCTGGAAGGCTGTTTTTGGTAGCTGTGGCAGTACTGTTGCTCATAGACCTTAGGACCAATAGCCAAGGAGTCAGGTGTCTCTGTCCCTACTCAGGTGACTTCACAGACAAGTGTCCCACTGAAGCTCATCACCCAGGAAATAAGCAACTTTAGGAACCAAGGTCTCTCAGTGACATTGAGACAGCCATTGCTCAGCTGGCTTCTCAGCCTGAAGAAAAATACAGTAGAGGAAGGGAGGAAGGGCTGATATAAGAATCCAGAACTTCCAACTGGGTGGCTTTGAGGAAGGGCTTATTTAATATCCCTGTCTTTTCCTTTAGATAATTTAACAGGCACATATGTTTTTGCTTCTGTACGAAGGAATACACTTCAGGAACCTACCTCCAGGACTTGGGGTTAGAAGGTTACAAATCCCATAATCCAAGTATTCAGCCTCACCTAAAAATATTTTGAAAAGTCTGGTCCAGATGACTCGCTCTCAGAGATGCCAGAGCTAAGTGGGAACACAGACTTTTATCCTGCTGCATGTGGTATAGGGAGATTTTACCTCCTAGATAGGGAGAGTTTACTTTCCCAGCTGAAGCAACTGAGAGATACCCATCATGTGGGCATCAATGACCACGGTCACCTCTCTCCATCAGGGTGCTCAGATGAGGTGCTGGGGAGAAGGAGACAGTTTGGTTGCAGGAGAAAGCTTGTCACTGCAGCTGGTCATCTTCAGGGCTGAAAGCCTTCTGCCTTGGCAGCTGGAAGGCAGGGCTATGGAGAAGCCAGGCCTCAGGCTCTTCCTCAGTGAGAGTAAGCATGGGAGGGGCAACAAAATATAGAGTTAGGGGTGTCTGGCCTCTCTCTTTCTCAGCTCTGGCTTTAAGGCTCAGGCTCTCTCTTCTGCTGGATCTATTCTTTCTATTCTTCTCTACTGGTCTCTGCAGGCTCACCTCACCCGCTCAGCTACCCTCCCTGTGCTGTTTTGAATGAGAATGGCCCCCATAGACTGTGCATTTGAATGCTTGGTCATCAGGGAGTGGCATAGCCTAGAAGGGTTAGGAGGTGGGGGCTTGTTGGAAGAAGTGTGACATTGGGGGTGGGCTTGGAGGTTTTGGAAGCTGAAGCCAGACCCAGTGGCTCTCTCTTCCTGCTGCCTGCTAATCTGAATGCAGAACTCATGGCTCCTTCTCCAGTACCATGTCTGTCTGCATGCTGCTATGCTTTGTGCCATGCTGATAATGGACTAAACCTGTGAAACCATAAGCCAGCCCCAATTAAATGCTTTCCTTTATAAGAGTTGCCATGGTTGTGGTATCTCTTCATAAAAATAGAACGATGACTAGAAAGAAGTTAATACCAGGGAGTGTATTCTTGTGATTGGCTTGACCACGCTCTTATGTTGGCAGAATATGGATTTTAGGACTTTGGATAAGGAAAGCAGTTGAACACTTCGAGTGGGGCTTAATGGGCCATCCTAGTAGGAACATAGAAGACAGTGCTGAGGGCAATTTGAACTGTGGGGGCCAGAGCTCAAGAAGTTTCAGTGGGGGAGAATTTAAGTAAGTGGTTCAGAGATCATTCTTGCAATATTTTTGCAAAGAATGTTGCTGCTTTTTGACCCTGTCCAGAAAATCTGCCTGAGGCAAAAAAAAAAAATGAAGAATTTTTGATTAATGGTGTTGCAGAGAAGATTTCAAGACTGTGTCATGTGGTTGTTAGTGGACACTCTTATGCAGATCTATAACGAAAAGGAGCAAGACGAACAAGGAAAAATAAAAAATGTACAATTTGAGGAGAAAAGGAGAACCAGGAACTATATTGGAGCTAAGACTAGTGCTCAAAGAGAGAAAGAGTTTAAAGGAAAGCCTGATGCTAAACTGAATAAAAGGAGCAGTGAACTCAAGGCAAGACCCCACCCAACTGAGCTTCCAACTTGTGAAAAGGAATTAAGAAAAAGCTTAAGCAATAAAGAAACCACAGAAAACAGAAAGCCTATGAAAATATATTTGAACGAGGAGTCAAATTTAAGTCCCCAGAAAGCAACAGAATTTGGAAGCTTTGGCTACATGGTTCTGTCTTTAGAGTCAAGGCAGAAGGCAGGTGTTGTGCAATCTTTCTCCATGGCTAAGGAAAGCTGCTGAGGTCAGGCATGTGGCAGGGGTGCCCCTGAACAGAGGCCTAGAGAGGCCACTGCATGAAGCTGTGAAGGCGAAGCCTGGATTGTGTTAGAGACTCCAAGGTGAAGCCTGGATTGTGTTGAAGACCCTAAGATTCTGGAGATGCCAGAGCCATGGGATACTTGCTGAGAGCTGCAGACTAGGTGGGGAACCAGCCCAAGAGAGAAAAGTGTGTTGTAGCCAACAAAGCTGAAAGGAGTTGGAGATCTGAAGAGCCCTTTGACATCAGACATGGAGATGCAGTCTGGAGTTTGCCCAGCTGGTTTGCAGACTTTCTTTGGTACAGTATTTTCTTCTCACTTTGCTCCCTTTCCTACCTTTTGGAATGGTAATATATATCCTGTGCCATTGTATGTTGGAAGTATGCGATCTGCTTTTTGATTTCGATTTTACAAGGTTACAGTTAAGAGATTTCCTTGAGTCTCAGAAGAGACTTTGAACTTCGGAATTTGAAACAGTGTTGAGACTGTGATAGACCATGGGGACTTTTGAAGTTGGACTGAATACATATTTTTTGCATTATGATAAGACTATAAGCCTATGTGAGCAAGAGAGTGGAATGTGGTGGTTTGAATAAGAATGTTTGGTCACCAGAGAGTGGCATTATTTGAAATAATTAGGCCTTGTTGGGGGTAGGTGTGGTCTTGATGGAGGAAGTATGTCACTGGGGGTGAGCTTGGAGGTCTCAGAAGCAAGAGCTAGGCCCAGAGTCGCTCTCTTCCTGCTGCCTGAAGACCCAGATATAGAACTCTCAGCTACTTCTTCAGCACCACGTCTGCCTGCATGCTGTCATGTTTCTTGCCATGATGCCAATGGACTAAACCTCTGAGACTGTAAGCCAGCCCCAGTTAAATGGTTTCCTTTATAAGAGTTTGCCACGGTCATGGTGTTTCTTCACAGTAACAGAACAGTGACAGAGATACTCCCTGATGTGCCCTGTGTACAACATTACTACTATATGGATACTATTTATATCTCTGACTGTTAGTCTTAGACACATCTTGATATTCTTTTTCTGGTGAAATTCTAGAAACTTCCTATATTCCTTGGCTTATGGCTACATCACACTGCCCTTTCTTCTTCCTGACCTTCCTATGCCCCTCTTATAGACACCATTTTGATGACATTAGTCTCACCTAGATAATTCAGGGCCATCTTAAGACCCCATTCAAAAATACACTGTGTACCCAGAGCCTTTCCCTGTGTCCCCACTTCTACCATGGAGCATTTCTTCCTTTTACTAGGCTGTGATCAATGACTTAGCCTCCCCCTCCCATGTGGTGGTTTGAATGAAAATGGCCCCCATAGGTCCAGAGGAAGTGGCACTATTAGGAAGTGTGGCCTTCTGGATTGTATGTCGTCTTTATGGAGAAAGTGTTTCACTAGGGGTAGGCCTTGAAGTTTTAGAAGCTCATGCTAGGCCAAGTAGCTCACTGTCTCTTCCTGCTGCCTGCCATTCCAGACGTAGAACTCTCAGGTACCTCTCCAGCACCATGTCTGTCCGCATGCTGTTATGCTGTTATGCTTCCTGCCATGATGACAACAGACTAACCTCTGAACTGTAAGCCAGTCCCAATAAAATGTTTTCCTTTAAAGAGTTGCCGTGACCATGGTGTCTCCTCATATTAACAGAAACACTAAGACGCATCGTAACATTCTTACTTTGATTGCTAATGATAAACTACAGAATAAAAAGAATGAATACTTAAAGCAGCACACACAGAACTCTAGGGCCTTACACATGCATGGTTTCATGTCCCCAGGTCCATGTTCATTGATTTTCTAACACCTTGTATCCTCCTCCTCCATAGTCCCCAGGCATATCCTGGTGTCCTTGTAGTTGGACTTCATGGATAGATCTGGTATTTGGGATGACTCAGAGAAGATTATATTGACTTATTCCACCCTCTTCTCCCCCAGATCAAACTACTCACCCCCCAACCATAACAGTTCCTTTAAACCTTCTTCTAGACCTCCTCTCCCTGCCTTTTCTCTCTCCCCAATACTCACATCCTTTATCCTCTAAACTGGAGGAATCCGAGGGAACCAGGGGCATAAGCATGCCAGGGACAGCTTCACCATCTGTCAGAATATACCTGACCCCTTGCCAAAGAATAACCTACTTGGCTCACATCAGCCTTTCTGAGGGAAGCCTATATCCCTTGCCACCACCCGGTGCCAGAGTTTCTGGGCCCAGCTCACCTGTCTCTCCCCAGATGGGCAGGTACTCATCTTGCTGAATGTCCAGCATGATCTCCAGCCCGTTGCCCGTCCCCCCCTTGACTGTGGTGAGCAGAGGCTTGCCATCCTCGCCTGAGTTAAACATGTAACACTTCCCATATTTTGTAAACACCTGAAGGAGAGAAGAAAAAGAGAGAGAGAAAAGGACATGGTGACATCACATTGAGCTCCAGGGATGGGCAAGACCTTAGAACTCCCACAGCCAGTCAGAGTCTCTACTGCCCACTAATCTTAACCCTCTTGTACTAAAGATTTCTCTATTTCTTATCTTGCCTAATGGCTGGTTGTCTGTCAAATAAGATTTTGGTATCAAATAAGAAATTTGGGTACTCCCAGGGGCTTGTTGAGTGTTATCTGACCACTTTGGGGCACCCTCCCCAAAAATTCCACCCATTTCCAAGCACGTATAACATCATCTTGAAACTCTTGACCCTCTAAGCCATACCCCAAGCTTCAGGCTCCTTCCCAGGCTGCAGATACAACAACACTACTTCTGAGAAACGCCTTCCAGATGTTCCCCAGATGCCCTACACTCTGCCTGTCCCAGAAGGCACAGGACTTGCTCCAATATTCTACTTATGCTGCTATTTCTTCCATATCAGAAACATTTTCTTTTGAAGGCCAGGGAGGGGTATATCAAGAGGTAGGAAGTAACTAAACTTACAAGGCACAGGAAGTAAACAAAACTCACAGATTACAGGAGAGGAGACTCTTGCATAGAATTGAGTGGCCTGTAGGTAGCATAGGGAGCTTCAGGGATGAAGATCTGTGAGCTATAAATCATGATGAGGTGGGCTCTTTGGTGATGTCACTGCGTTTGGGCCATCCATATTTTGTAAGCAACCCTTATCCAGCTTGGTGATAACCCCAACATGAGGCTAGGCTTGGGTGGACCTATTCTTTGTCATTGGGGCCCCAGCTGAGTGAACAGCCATTTGTTGGCCTCTCCCCAGGGAAAACCACACACTCTTCCATCAGTTCCCCGAATTCCCATCAGGGGGAACAGCATCTGCTTGTCAAGGGGCTCAACCTAGACTCCCCTGCCAGTCTCACTGTCCAGTCTTTCTTTTTCTCCCCCATACATAAGCAGCCAACAAGGCTCATCAGTATCCCATATCTGCCTTGACTTTTGTCATTCTCTTTCTATCCTGCTGGATAGAAGCGGCCCCTTCCTGTCACTGCTGCTCTGGTTCCTTAACTGACTCTTGGAGTTCCAGACAACTCTCTCTAGCTACGTTATAAACTTATCTTTCTGAAGTTGATCCTGTGCTGAAAATCTATTAAGACCGGTCCATCTCCTGCAGGTTGAAATCGACAACCTCTTTACCTGGCCTTCTATAGTATGCTCTTCACATACCTGCCTACTTCCTGTCCTCTTCCTTCCTGCCTCAGCCTGCAGGCATCATGGGATGGTCAAGTCCGAGGTCTCAGGGACTACATCTGCTAGCACATTCATGCGTCTTCCCCCAGTAGCTCACGCAGTGTCTGGCACACAGACGCCATAAATACATGTTAAATGAGTGGATGAGCGAGAGAGTGGAGGTGGAATCGGGACAATAGGTCTGTAGCCCTGGAGTATACCCTGCTGTCTCCCTGCTTCTGCCTTTGCCCTTGCTACGTCTGACACCTGTAAATCTGCTTATTCTTCTCTGCCTGGACAACTACTCACTGTCTCCAAGGCTAAACTGATGCCTCTTCTCCTCCAGGAAGACTTGCAGGGCTGGGTGACCCTTCTTTCTTGCCTCTCCTTGTTCTTCCCCACAGCTTCCATCATACTGAATGCATCTCTCCTGAACTTGACTCCGCCTTTCACTTCTGAGTCCGAGCACTTAGATGGCATACAGAACAGGCTTATTCTATTTTTGCTTGATGAAAGCATGATCATAAAGATGTTGTGTGGAAGAAGTCCAGGGCAAGGGATGAGAGAGCTCTGTCCAAGTTTTCACCTTGTCCCTCAGTATTTGGTATTAAATGCACCAAATAAACCCTTTAAGCCATGATTCCCTTGTCTGTAAAATGGGAGTTCTAGTCCAGGACTCTGCTTCTTCTCAAGGTCACTAAAAACTATGAGCTTTCTGTAAATGCTAGTCTTTTTCTTTCTTTCTTTTTTGATTTTTGGTTATATAACACTTTGCAACCTCGAGCTGAAGCCAAATACATCTGGCAAGATTGGCTGGAAGAAAGCCATGCTGACTGAATTGAATTCCTGCAGCCACTGAGATCTGGGTGCAGGCCACTTCCCTCTGGCTCCCTGCCATTCAGTCAGGGCCAGGTTGAGCACAAGTGCTGCCCTGGGGACGGCCTTTCTTGAGCAGCTCTTAAGGGCCACAAAAAGGAAGACAAAGAGAACCATGTGTCAGTCACTGTGTTGGACTTTGGATGATTACTGCATTTGGTCTTCACAGCAGTGACTGTGGACGGGTATTGCAGAGATGGAAATCAAGGAAATTAAAACTCCACAACTAGTAACAAGAGAAGCTGGGATTCAAATCCACGTCAAACACAACCCCCTGGTTATGCTGTCCCAGAAGGAACACAGGGCTCTGGGTCACGGGGTCACCTCTCAGAGGAAGCACCTTCTTCGCTGCTTCTCCACTTTGCTTGTTTTTAATCAGCCAGTCATTATTCATGTGTGCTCCTACAACATGCAAGGAACAGGACGGTGGCAAACCCCTAGGGCCTACTGTCTGCCTTTAGCATCTGCAAGAAGTGCGAGTAGAACAGCCCTACATCTTCTCCATTATACAGAACGACTCAATTGCTGGCTAGCTGTACTGCTTCAGGATGGCCAGGTTGCTCTCTCGGCTCACGGTGGGAGAAGAGCTAGAGAGCCAAAAGCCCTAAGCAAACAGTTCCTCTAAGAACTGAACTTTCTTGTCGCTGTTGCACACAGTAACTGGACTCAGCTAATGAACCCGTCCCCTGGAGAGATGTTGGTAAGGCAACAAGCAGAGCATTTTATAGTAAGCACAATCATTGCAAGGGGTTGACTATGTCAGGAATGACTTCCAGGGTGTTTCAACAAAGCCCTCCCTTCTTTTCCTTAATGTGTATAGACACTATAAACACTTAGCCTCGAAAACTACCCATAATTACACTTAGCCCATCCGCATGGCGAGATTTGTTGGTAAAAGCAAATTCCAGCCTAGTGTCTAATTATTGCACATCCCAGCTGCCCCAATTAACTTCCTTTTCCTCCACTACTTAGCCCTTGACCTTTAGAATATTGGGCCGAGGATAGAATGTGCTGTCTATTCCTGAAGTTAGTCCAGATCCTAGCCTGGCCACACACGTGCTGTGCCAAGTGTCTTGATAAAGGCAGTGACACCCCATCCCCTGAGCAACAGACAGGAATGGAGTGGTCCAGGAGATCATCTCATTCATCCCCTTCCCTTTATAGATAAGGGCATGAAGACCAGGGAGGTTGAGGCTGCCCTACGGTCCACAGTGAGGATGTGTCCCAATGGAACACTCATTAAAATCTTTGTCCTTCTTTGAGGTGGTCTTCCTCAGTTTAACAGGATGTAGAGCTTTCTTTGGTCCCTCCCCTGTGAACTTCTCTTAGCTACCACTTGTCCTCTCTATGCAGGCTCGCGGGAGCTGAAGTCGGTGAGCTGAAGTCCTTCTCTGTAGAGAAGAGAGTAGGAAAGTCCCTTAGTGTAGGGCGCACAGAGAGTTACATCCTGCTCTTTGACAAGCCCTTGCCAGGCTGGGCCCTCATTCCAGCCCAGATGTTAGTCCCTGTTAGTGCACTTACACCAGGCTTCTATTTGCTGCCCTTCCTCCCCAGGAGGGTGCTGGGGCACAATCTCCAGTGTGCTGGTGTGGACTGATTGGGCAGAGTGGGTCAGGGTTGGGCACCAGGCTGATCATTATCAAGTCTGGTGGTCTATGGCGGCCAAGTTCTTCTTGGAAGTCAGGCTGCTGTGCTGCACTTCGGAAAACCTTCCATCTTGGAGCAAAGCTCATTAAGAAGTTTACAGGGAGGTGAAACAATAGGATGCTCCAAGGGGAGGTGCAACACCCCATCCTGCAGGGAAACTCATTAAGACAGGAAGTAAACAGCTCAAAATAGCTTCAGGAAGTCTGTGAAACTGACCAGATTCACTGGGCCCCTCTCTCCGCAAGCATATATAAGCAGTAACGATTGCTGAGACACTGTCGAACGAGCTCAGCTGCCTGGAAGACTCTCGGAGCAGCCAGGCAGACTGGAGGAAGCAGAGCTTAGCAGAGCTTTCTAAAAAAGACAAACCCCGTCCAATCTGTTGAGGGCCTGCAGGCTGTGCAGCACACTCGCAGTTTCTTGCTTTTGTGCACCTTCAGTCATGCTGTGGTGGGATTTTGGTGGTGGAGTTGTCATTGAGTTGTTCTTGCTCCTGTAAGTAACCTCGCACCCACAATCCTATAAGTAACGCCACTAAAACTCATTGGTTCACCAAGTCGGACAAGCGTGGTAGCTACACTTGGATCTGTTTTCATTAGTTCCCTGTCTGGGGTTAGTAGCCCTGTTCAGACCTCCCTAGGAATAGTGACGCACAACACAGGCCCAGCAGGAAGAAGCCTAATGTTAAAGCCCCAGACCCTCTAGAGTCTTGCACATCCTCCTTCTCCCTTCTTCCCCTTTATGTTTCACATTCCCGGGCAATTCAGTTCGCAGAGGTCCAGATGCTCTTCCCCCACAGGGCCTGTCCACAGGTTTCTTCTGTCTGGAATATTCTCCCCACATACTTTGCATGCATCACACTTCATCGTCCCAGACATGCCTCATTCACCCGCCTCAGTCTCTGGCTCCAGGATCTGCATGGGTTCAGCCTTCTTGCCTTATTATCTCGCTCACTCTGTGTTTCCCTGCCACAGGGTGGAACTAGGTCATTATTTCCTCACTAGACTGTAAGTTTCTAGACGACAGGAAGTGTGTATTTTGTTGAATGGGTGAATGAATCAATGAGTGAGTGAATGAATGGGTTCCAAGGTGTTGCTGCCCCATGTCCCCTTGTCTACCTCTGTCGGGTGTACTTGTAAGCTGGCTAGCCATACCTGATTCTGTCCAGCGCTCATGCCGAAGTCTTATCCAATCCTCTCCCCTCTCCTGTCTCCTATCCAGCTTCCTCT